CCCCTTCTGAAGACACATCGCTGGGCCGTGGCTCTCAAGTTCAGAGGGACTGGAGAGTTGGGGACGCTCCTGGTGACTCTGCACTGGACATTGGCCAGGATGCAAGAACACAACGTCCTGAGGTTGTGGTCTTGGGGGCTCGAGGCCATCGACGCGCCACAGTGACCCCAGGACGCGATAGAGAAGGAGCCGACATGCGGAAGGGGGCGGCCCTCACTGAGATGATGGGGCCACCTGCCCCAGACAGGGCGACTGCACTGGGTCTCTGAGGGCTGGCTGGATTCACCAGCCAATGCCTGGTGGAGCAGACAGTCCAGGCAGAGGGAACAGGCTGAGCAAAGCGCAGAGGCCCATGGTGGGGTGGGGTGGGCAGAAGCGTGGTAGAGTAGGGGCCTGCTCAGCTAGGGAGGGGCGGCGTGCCCCGAGCCCCACCCTCAGGCCTGTCCTGGAGGGAAAGGCTGAGGAGAGGTGTGGCATGTAAGGAGTCCTGTATCAAGATGTCCATGAAGAGGAGGAATAAGTTGGGGAGGGAGAGGCAACTGCTGTCAAAGATCCAGGTCCAGGGCCAGCCCCGTGGCATAGCGGTTAAGTGAACACGCTCTGCTGCTGGTGGCCCGGGTTTGAATCCCGGGCGCACACTGATGCACCGCTTGTCAGGCCATGCTGTGGCGGCGTCCCATATAAAGTGGAGGAAGATGGGCATGGATGTTAGCCCAGGGCCAGTCTTCCTCAGCAAAAAGAGGAGGATTGGCACGGATGTTAGCTCAGGGCCGATCTTCCTCAGAAAAACAAAAAAGGTCCAGGTCTCTTGGACACAGAACTGTCACCGGCCACACCATGCAGGGTGACACATCAGCAAGGCAGGTGGGACAGTGGGAGACGGGTACCTGCCTATGACACGACCCCGTCCCCTGCAGATTCTGGGCAGAGCCGGGGAGGTGGGTTCTGAGCACAGGAGCCAGAGACCCGCAGGGTGAGGGCTCCACTGTCCAGACACCGCCAGGGGACGACCATCGGAGAAGGGGGTACAGGCGACGCCTCCACCCCTGCTCCGTCTTCTCCCGTGCCCACCTGGAGGACCCCCACAGCCTGCAGCAGCACCTGACCACTCCCCTACAGCACCTTCCCTGTCCTGCTGTCCCCCTGCCTGCCCCTCAGGAGAAGGCAGGACCACCTCTCACAGCAACCTCTCCTCTCCTTCCTTCCCAGGAGCGGCTCCAAAGATTAAAAAAAAAAACTGCCATCAAAATTGGTTTGAATTTCCTTCCAAGGAGTTCCGCTGAGCACAAGCGCTTGGAGGAGGTGCTGAGCGTGACGTCACGGGGGGTCAGCCGGGCCTGGCCACCACCGCCAGCTGCTGACTCCCAGAGCGCCGCGGAGTCAGTCCTGCTCATGCCCCAAATGCCGGCCTGTCACCTGCAGCATCTCTGGATTTCCCAGCAGGCCCCTCCGACCCGGGGTTGACACCCCAGCTCTGAACCCGGCTCCCTTAGAGCGGGTTGCAGCACATTTGATGCGGAGGGCTGGAACCAGTAAGGCCTTCCTTCTTTCCTCAGAAGCAGTTCCACCAGCACTGAGGGGCCCTGTCATCTCACGCCCCACGTCTCCGCCTCCCTTACAGTTCCTTCTGTTTTTATTTTCCTAATCCAGCGCCTGTCCCTCCCAGCCTCCCCTTGTATAGGCCAGGCGACTGAGACCAAGGAGGAAGGGACCTGCAGCATGGGGACAAGGAGCTGACTTTAGTTTGGGTTGTCCCAGTAGACAATTTTGAGGTCCAGAACTTTCCCTGAGGTGGGGAAGGAGTGGGGAGAGGGGGCGAGGTTAACCCCACAGGAGGACCACCCCGGGGCAGCCTCGCAGGCATCCGCCACCGTCCCCCTGCCCACGGGACCTCACGTTGGAAGGCATACCCTCAGCATTCCCTTCTCTGCTCTCAGTGCCCCCCGCCCGCCCCATGCCGCAGGGTTTCCCAGGCCTCCCTGCCTCTGCTTCAGGCCGCCAGCCCTCCACTCTGCCTCCCCTCATCCTGCAGCCCAGGGCCTGCCCCCTCCCCCACCCACCTCCCTCAGCCACGCACTCCCAGCACGGACCCTCACGAACACCCTCCACTCCACGCCTGGGCTGTCAGGTGCAGCTGCAGGAGTCCTCGGCCACAGGGCCTGTGAGGATCACTAACAGTAACGAGCGCCGCCTCTGTCGGACACTGCCCTGCTCCAGCTGTGCACTGAATGTTCTCCACTTCAGCTCGCGGCAGTCCTGGGGGTCCCACTCTACAGATGAGGAAACGGAGGTTCAGGGAGGCCGGCTAGGTCACACGCCCAAGTCTTCCTTATTTCAGAGAGCAGGACTTGAGAACCTCGCTCGTTGGCACCCTCCATACCCTTGTGAAGCAGCTGGAGCTGCAAAACCACCTCCATTTCCCCGTCTGGGCCCTTTGTGTCCCCTACTCTGCAGCCACCTTTCCTTTGCACCATGTCCCTCGGGGGCATCAGCCCCACTCCTTGGGCTCACGTCAGGCAAGGGGGGATTTGCCCGTATATGTTCCTTAGCTGGTTCCTTGTAAACATCCATCAGGAAAGGGTAGGTCCTGCTGCAGGTGTGGGGCGACGGGGAGGCTTGGGGCAGGAACCGGGAGCCACAAGCTGCATCTGGAGAGGGCAGTGTGTGTCAGGAGGGGGCACCGTGGAGCCAGGACTCTGAGCTGATGGGGCTGGGCACGGAAGGACTCCATCAGCCTCAGTTATGAACACAGTTGCTTTACACACATGTATACAGGATTTTCTATGTGCATTGTTTTCGTTTCTCTAGGGCAGATACCAGCAGTAGGATTGCTGAGTCATATGGAAGGGTATGTTCAAATTTCTAAGAAATTTCCAAACCATTTCCCAGAGTGGCTGTACCATTTGCATTTCCACAAGCAATAGAAGGGAGTTCCAGTTGCTCTGCCTCCTCAACAACATTTGATATTGTCAGTATTTTTTTTAAATTTTAACTGTTCTAATAAGTGTGTAGTGGTATCTTCTACCACTTTTAAATTAGGTTGTTTTGTTTCTTATTATTCCTTATTGTATGTATTATTGTATTTATTTTTTCTTATTATTATTTCTTATTATGGAGTTTCAAGAGTTCTTTATTCTGGAGACAAATCCTCTGTCAGATAGACGATTTGCGAATATCTTCTCCCTGTCTGTAGCTTGTCCTTTCATTTTCTCAACAGTGTCTTTCATGGAGCAAAAGTTTTAATTGTGATGAAGTTCAGTTTTGAATTTCTTTTCTTTTATGGATAGGGCTTTTGGTGTCACGTCTAACAACACTTTGCCTAGCTCTGTATCCTGGAGATTTTCTTCCATGTTCTCTTCCAGAAATTTTATAGATTTAGATTTTACATTTAGATCTATGATTGATTTTGAGTTTTGTATAATGTGTGAAGTTTAGGTTGAGGTTCATTTTTTAAAACATATCAATGTCTAATTGTTCCAGCATTATTTGTTGGAAAGACTATCCTTTCTCCATTGGATGGCTTTTGCACCTTTGTAAAAAAAAATCAATTGGCTATAGTTGTGTGAGTCTGTTTCTGGATTCTCTCTTCTACCCTGTTGATCTCTGTGTCTGCCCCTTCACCAGGACCACACTCTCTTGGTAACTGTTGATTTATAGTAAATTTTAAAATTGAGTGGTGTGATTCTTCTCACTTTATTCTTCTGTCAAATTTGTCTTAGCTATTCTAGTTCCTTTACTTTCTACATAACTTTTAGAATCAACTGATATCTACAAGGAATTTTGATTGAGATTGTGTTGAATTTATAGATCAATTTGGGGGGAGATAACATCTTAACAATATTGATCCTTCCAAACTATGAACCAAATCTATGAACTTAGGTCTTCTTTGATCTCGCTCATCAATGTTTTGTAGTTTTCAGCATAGAGGTTTTGCATGTATTTTGTTAGATTTATACCTATGTAGTTCATATTTTTGGTGCTATTATGAATGGTACTGTTTTCCTAAATCAAATTTCCAATTGTTTACTGCTTGTAGATAGAAGTAATATTGGTGTTTGTATATTGAGCTTGATTCTGCAACCTTGCTAAACTCATTTATTAATTCTAGTAGCTTTCTGTATATTCTTTTGAATTTTCTACTTATACAATTATGCCATCTATGAATAGAGCTTTATTTCTTTCATTCTGATAGTAGGCCTTTCCTTTCTTCATTTCGCCTTATTGCACTGCTTAGGCCCTCCAGTACCATGTTGAATAGGGGTGATGATAGAGGGCATCCTTGTTTTGCTCCCAATCTTGAGGGTTAAGCACTCGTTTTTTTGCCATTAAGTATGAAGTTAGCTGTAGCTTTCTTGAGAACACCCTTTATTGGGTTAAGGAAGTTACCGTCTATGTAAAGGTTTGGTTAACAATGGATGTGGGGTTTTGTCAAATGTTTTTTGTGCGTCTATAGAGATGATAATGTGATTTCTCTCTTATTAGGTAACTCTAGTAAATTACATTGATTTATTTTGGAGCCAACCTTGCGTTCCCAGGATAAACTCCACTCAGTCATGAGGTATTTCCTCTTTACATATTATTGGATTCAATCTGGTAAAATGTTATTGAGGATATTTGTCTCTATGTTGAAGGATATTGATCTGTAGTTTTATTTTCTTGTAATGTCTGTGTCTGGTTTTGGTAGCAGGGTAATGCTGACCACATGTCACTGGGGGCTGCCTGGGCATGAAGCTGGGAGCACAGGGTTGGTGTGCCTGTGGGCACCTGGAGCTGTTCAGACAGGTGCAGCCAGGTACTGAGGGAAGCAGGTGGGCACTCCCATGATGAACACCTTCTTGTAACCCCACCCCTCAAGGCTCTCTCCCTTCCCCGCCTCATCACTGGGGAGGTGGGTGCTGTCTCCGGAAGGTGCAGGACACCTGGTCCCTGTGACCATTTTTGGCCCCATCTAACAGATCTAATGCACAAATAAAGCCACAGCGGAGACCCACGGGTCTGGTGTTGCATGAGGAGCCACATTTATTCTTAATTGGACAGAGCCTTAAGTGCACACACACAGTACAGGAGCCTAGAGCCTAACATTCGGGTTTAGGACGTCAGGGAACTAGAGTCATTACCTCAGGATGGCGGTTACAGTGCAGGGGCCGGAGTGTGCCACACAACCACGTATGTACAAGCCACAAGGGAACTCGGGGGACCACTAGCTACAGGAAGCACAGGCCCGGGAAGAAGCCACAGCCTCTGTCGATCCTGGGGGAATGCTTGCCCCATCTCAGGAATAAAGGAGGGCGCCTCCCGGAGTCCCACGCAGGGGGGCTGACGGAGGACCAGTGCGGCAATCCCGCTAGCGCCTGCACCATCAGTGACATTCAGGGACCCTCACCAAGCCCTTTGCCACACCTCCCCCAGAGGTGCTGAGGGGGGATCAGGATTGAGGGGAGACCACCTCACCGCAGTCACCCTGGGTGTGTGTGCATGTTTGTGTGCGTGCATGTGCGCCTGTGCGTGTCAGTGAGTCAAACCTTGATGTCTTATAAGTGATTACTCAGGGCGGGGAGGCCTGGGGACCTTACGAGAGCATCAACACTCACCCCTGTGCACCCACCGGGTCCCGCTGGAGCTCAGTGCCAGTTGGCCTGGAACCCAGCATCCCCTCCCTGGGCCTGTCTCTGGGGTCCCAGCAGAAGGAGCTCACCCTCCCTTGGAGGGGACAGAGAGCCCTCCCCAGGCGAGGATGGCCATCCCTCAAACCAAATGAGGCTGCAGCCTGAGCAACATCAAACTTTAAAAAAAAAACATCTGAGAGAGGCTTTCTAGATCTTTCTCTCCTTCCCCACTTAGTGGGAAACAGCAGCCACAGCCAGACCTGACTTTCCTCCCTGCACCCCACGATGTGAGGGCCCTCAGTGGCCCTCCAGATCAGCCCGTCATGTCATAGATGTGAAGACCGAGTCGCAGTTTGTTAAGCAACTTGTCCCCGGCTTGTGTGACCCGTGGGTAGTTTTGGGCATGAGCATTTCCTGACTCACAGATGGATTTCTCTCCCCAGAAACCCCGGGTTTCTGGACTCCAACCCAGGACCTCCCACTGGAGCAGATCTGAAAGGAGGAAGTGACAGTGGGGATAGGGCCATCAGGTAGCACACACCTGGCTCCTAGTCAAGGCCAAGACAGCACCAGGTCAAAATGAAACAGTCCCTGGGGCACCTCCACGGCCATGGAGGCTCCTGAACTTGGGGGCCATTTTGGGAAACCCTCGCGTGGGCCCCTCCCCTCAGCCCCGTCCCGCGTAGCAGGTGCTCTGCAGGTTGGCTGGCCCCAGACACCTGCGCCCTGGTGGGGGGGCCTCAGACCCTTCCGAGGCCACAGCTTCAGGCTGGTTGACCTGAGTGGGCTGCGGCCTGGGCCCCGCACCTCCAATCTCCCTGCAGTGAGGGGGGCTCTCGGGGACCCGACTCATCTTAGAACAACTCACCCCATCCCTGTTTCTCCTCCTTGCCCTCAAGACCGTCCTAAAAGCCAGAGTAAGTGCTGGTTCCAGACTCTGCAGTCACCTCTGCTCTCTGCATCTCAGTCCAATACCTCCAGGAACGTCTGGAGGGGAGTACGGGCCTCGTGGTTTCTGGACAATGTTTGATGTCAGCCCAGGATGGGAACCCTCATCTGAGGACCTCCACATAAAGCCGCTGAGCCCTGCGTTCACAGATGTGCTTTCTCAGGACCTGACTCTTACTGAGGGAGCTGCTCCATCATTAGCACCTCCCAGGCACTGGGGATGACGGCAGCAGGGAGCGAAGGTAGCCACTGCCACGCTGCCCCTGAGCCAGGTTCGAAAAGGCACGCTCAGTCTCAACTCCCCACCGGGCCTGAGCCCATCATCCCGGGTCGCACGTCTGAGGCGAAGCTTATGGGGCCTGAACAACTTTCCCAAAGGAAAACCTCGAACTGGAACCTTCTTACTTGTATGGGAGCCAACACCATACATCCCCAGGGGAGAGACACTGCAGGCACTTCTGGTCTCAGTGCATGGAACTGGGAGAATGCCCACGTGTCATGTCAGTGCCAGGTGGGGACAGCCTGGGATAAAGGGGGGTCTCAGAACCACTGACACCTGAGTGTGTTAGGGTCGTCCAAACCAAGTGGAAAGGTGAGGGGTCAGTGAGCAACACCCAGCAAGGTCTAGCAAGGGAGGTGGAAGGCACCAGAGAATGGCGTGGACCAAGCAAACCTGGGTGTGATCCTGGTCCTGGAATGCCCAGACCCCATGTGAAACCCGCTCTTGGTGGGCCATGGTGGGGACAGGGGTTTTGTGGCTTGGTTGCTGTTTTTCCTAGAGCTAAAAAGAGGCCAAATGTGCCTTTGGGTGTGGGAACAGGTCCCTGAAGGCCCCTCAGGCCCGTGGTTTCTCTGACGGGTCTGTGGCCTGGGTGACACATGACCAGACTCTCGCCTGGGGCTCACTCCTATCCTGTCCTGGCAAGCTTCAGGCATGGGGTCTGCAGGTGAATCGAAATGGATGTTGTAACAAGAGGTTGGAACAAGACAAGGGCAACAGCCTCACATGCAGAAGGGGAAAGCCCCCTGATGATGGATGACCCCAACACTGGCCGCCCTCACCTGACCCCTCGGAATCTTCTCGCTGGGACTCACAGAAACTCTCTTCTCTGGGGACGAAGAGAGGAAGCCACAGATTTTCTTCCCAGGAGTGACCCTGAGCTCACCCCATTTCTCACAGCAGCTGGAGAAGCTGCGCCACAAGCCCCTCGCTGACTGGACTGTCACCCTGGACCACCTCTAAACCCAGACACCCACGTCCTGCCGGCCTGGACACATGACACAACCCGGTGGGATCCTGACCCTTCTCCCTCCCTGTCCCCGCCAGGACAGCCCCAGACAGCCCAGGCGCCCGTCTGTGTCCTCTCCACACGCTCCAGGGAGAAGCTGCCGGCATTGCCCGTAGAGTCACATCTCAGGTGGGGGTTGTCCAGGTGAGATGTGGATTCTGCCTCCTGCTAGAAGTAACACACGCCACCTTCTGTGCTGCTCGGACTTCAGGCATCAGATCCCCCCTGCCCCGGCACACACACACTCTGGGACGAGGGCCTGCCCCACGCGCAGCTGGGGAGAAGCCTGGCCTGTCCTGATCCCTCCTCACCGTGGTCTTCCGTGGCGGCTGCACCCCCTCCCTGTCTGTCCTAATAGGCTTGGAGAGGCGTGTGGGAACAAACAGGGGTGGGGTCCATCTGAATCCTACAGGTCTATGTGAAGGCATTAGAAATAAATACTTATAAATAGAACACAGTCTTATAGTTAATTTCTGAGTGGGCTGTTTCAATGTCACTAACTAATGTATATTAATTATAAGTCTGTCTATGCTTAAAAAAATATTAGAACACAGCGACGCCCCTGTGACTTGTGCCCTCTGGCCTCGCTAGCGTCTCCCAGTTCTCCCCCCAGGGCACGTTCTCAAAGAAGAAACGACAAACGTGGCTCTGCGGGAGCGCGACAGGTCATGTGCTGCAGGTCCCCTGGCCCAGCCCCGCGTGCCCAGGAGGAGGGGCTCGTCGGCTGTCTGATGGAGGCAGGGCTGGGCGGCGGGTGACGTGATGGATGGAGACGAGGACTGGGGAGTGGGGCCGGGCCTGCTGGCTGTCGGGAGGGCTTCAGCTCAGACCCTCATCTGGGCAGACCTCCTTCGGGAGAGCTTGGAGCTGTGGAGAGGGTCAGGGGGAGCAGCGGTCAGCGCGGGCAGCAGGCGCGGGATGCCAGCAGAAGGGGCCCCACAGCAGACCTCCACGCTGGACAGCCCGTGCCCCTCCCGCTCCCTCATCACCCGGAGAGACTTAATCTCTGTTCTCCGTCAATCTGACTTGGGGGGAGCAGCCCACCCTCCTCCTGTAGTCCCCTGCCTGACTGCCAAAGTATTTTCCCTACACAAAGGCCCACCTCAGGTAGAACGTAAATTTTGAATATCTCAGGAATTTATACACTTTGTGAGTTGCAATAACACCAAAACGAGCCTTAACATCCTCAAGAACGTCCTCCCAGCCCAAATGAGCAAGGAAAGCCCTCCCGTTCTCCTCTGCAGGGGTGGGACACCCATCCAGGTCCCGACAGCCCGTACCGGATGGTCCCGGCCAGGAGGGGGTTGAAGGCGTACAGCCAGTCGTGCATGTCCTTGTCGCTGTTGGCCTGCAGCAGGATGCCACGGTGCTCCGTGCACACCGCGAATGTGTTGGGCGTCTGCAAAGGGAGCCCGCCGTGAGGAGGCACGAGACCTCCCCCGGGTCAGCACACGGCGGTCACCGCTCCACCAGGGCCTGGCTGGGTGGGCGGGCAGGGAAGGGGCACCACCAGGGAAATCTCAAGGATGAGGAAGCAGGAAAGAAGACCCACAGGAGAGGGCAGAGCTGGAAAGGCTGTGGCTCCCTTCCGGAAGGCTCTGCAGTCTTGGCACCCTGTCCCGTCTCATGCCCCAGGGCTACCTTGCCACTGCTCTGCGTCCCCACGGGATGCGTCCACCCCTCACTGGCCCAGGGTCCTTCCCCTAGGATCCTGGTTCAGCTGCTAAACCAGATGTGTCCCCCAGGCCCCATTAATCCTGGCATCTTCTCAAGCCCCAGGTCTCAGCAGACCCTCATTCACACCCCACCCTCACCACAGGGCATCAGAAATCCTCCAGTGGGCATGGTAGCTGCTGGCAGGAAGGAGTCAGGGCTCCTGGCAGACACATTGAGGGCCACTGCTTTTCATAGAGGAGCAGGGGCAAAGCCAGGGGGCCAGGGGGCCCGACTCCTGGGGCCATGGTACCAGGGGTGTCCCCAGGAGGAGGGGACCAGGTTGTTGGCCGTTGAGTGGGAAAGGGTTAATGCCTTCTGGCCCATGGACCAGGGCTCACCACTGCTGGTTGTCACCAAGACTCTGAGCCCCACGGGTGGGCAGAGAGACCCCAGGACATGAGACGCAGAGGGCCAGAGAGGCCGCCCCATGTCCCCGCCCAGGAGAGACGGGACTGGATGGCCTCGGCCTGGAGGTGAGCAGACGCAGGGCCCTGCTGGGGCTTGCTGGGCCCTGGCCAGCCCGGGGCCCACCCATCGTGCTTCCGGGCCGCACCTTGAGCATGGCCTGCTGGTCCTCGCTGTACTCCACCTGGGCAGTGGCGAGGTTGAGCACAAACCTCTCCACGGCGTCCTTGTCGCTGTTGTACATGTAGGCGTACGGCCGCCGCACCACCACAAAGCGCTTGGCCCAGCCGGCCGTGTGCGGCTCCAGGAAGTGCAGGTACCCCTTCTTGGAGACGATCGGGCTGCGGGGCGGGGACACTGCTCGCTTGGCCCCACACGGGGTCCACCATCCACCACCAGAGCCAGGCCCCCGGCAGTGCCGCCACAGCGCAGCTCAGAAAGTGGACCTTCAAGGGGACTAGCCAGGGCCGAGGCTCCCAGGGAAACCTGCCAGAAACCCACCCGGGGGCCGAGACCAGAGCCACCAACCCACCTCTGGGCCTCAGTTTCCTCAGCTGTAAAATGGAGAGACTTTAAAAAAGCTGAAGGTGCTCCTGCCCCATGGCCACAACCCATCAATTATGGTGTTCTCAGGGTGGCCAGGGCCAAGCAGGCACTTAGCATAGTGTCCCAACTGGTAACTTGCAAACTGGTAACTGCAGAAACCATCTTTCTGCAGAGCTGCACATGAGGTCCCTGGCCCTGGGCCCTGCTCTAACCCACCCTCTTGCGCTTAACTGTCTGCTCATTCTCCTCCCCTGTCCCAGGTGAGGGGTGGCCTACCCGAGCCCCTAGTACAGAGCTGTCCCCTGCCCTAGGTCAGGGGCGGCCTGCCTGTCCTTTCGAGGACAGAGCTGGCCGGGCAGTGCTTTAGAGGGGCCCCTGTTTGGGGCAGGGCTCTCACGCACCTGACCCGGATCTCCTGGATGTCGGGAACCAGCAGGCGCTGCGGCTCCTTGTCCACCTCTGATGCCGGAGCAGGGGAGGGGGGCTTCTTTGAATCCGCCTCCGGCACAGGCTCAGGCTCTGGGCTGGCTGGCCGTGAGCAGGGCTGTGGGGTCCTGGGAAAGCAGAGTGAAGCCCTTGCATTCCTGCCAGGAGGCTCCTCACTGGGCCTGGGAACCACCTCCACCGGGGCTTCCCCTGATGGCCAGCGTCATCCCCTCAGAGCCGCTGTGGGGCACCTTTTGGGGTCTGCCCAGCCGTGCCCGGGTCGGAGCTCTGGGCCCGCCCACCTGATTGCAGGATTGTGCTGGGTGCAGTGGGAGGGACCCGGCTGTGCGGGATTCCACACCCTTCTCCCGTGGTGCTTTCTGCCTCCCCTGCTCCACCCCCGTACAAGCGGCTGCAGCAGCTCTTCATCTCCAAAACTGCGCTGAAGTTGACACACCATTCTCAGCGCCCATTTGCGTATAGGGAGCCGCTGGCCCATGGGCACCTGCCAAGCCCGGAGTGACTGACGTGGTGGCCAAGGAAGCCTTCTCAGGATGAGGCCCAGAGGGCTCCATGCCTTTTCTTTCTTTCTTTTTAAGAAAGAAAACTTGGAAACCCTGAGGCATTTTAAAATCTGATGATTAGTCATTCACAGTGTTAGCAATGTTGGGGGTCCCTTCCAACACTCTGCTCGGCAGAGTCAGAGGGTCTTTGTTGACAGCAGTGAGCCTAACTGTTCCCTAAGTTCTGTTTTGTTGCCTTTTTTCCCACTGAGTATTTTATGAGCATCACCTAGTGAAAAGGGTTTTTTGTTTCGTATCGTTTTGACCCGTTCCTGGTTTTATTCATGACTGCACTTTAAATTTATGCTTTAGCAGAAAAGGGCTTGGGACAGAGGGACAGAGAGGTGAGAGGACAGGTGCGGGTGGGGCCCCGGGGGCGGGTCAGTGGGCGGGGCCTCAGGGCAGTGGGCGAGGTCTCCAGGCCGGTTGTAGTGGGGGATCTGGGGCAGGGCCACGGGGGGCCACCCCAGCCAGGCAGGCTTGCAGATCCCCCACCCAGCCCTGCCCTGGACGTGTATAGCCTAAGATCCTTGGCCACGCATGCCCCGCCTTCTCTGCGCTCTGTGCTCTGTGCCGGAGTCACGGCCAGTATCATCAGTCACTTCCCCGGGAGCCTGGAGCTCACTCACCTCAGGTCAGCGGCTCCGTATCGCCCTTCGACCAGAGAGGGGCAGGTGGAGGAGGGGGTGAGCGTGGCCGCCCCCAGAGGGGAC